CTGCGACTGCGACTGCGACTGCGAGTGCCAGTGCCAGTGCCAGTGCTGCTGCTGCTGCTGCTGCTGCTGCTGCTGCTGCTATTGATGTCAGGCCCTTCCAGTCGGAAGCTTGGGCACCTGGGGTCGGAGTCTCATTTCCCAGATCCTGGCACCGGCAGAGTCATAAGCTTTGGGCCTGAGCATGCTTGAGCCATGAGCTGCCTCGTGTTCCGCTTCTGAGGTGGAGGCGGCACCGGCGGCGAGTCGGTTGCACGCCTGGCCCGGGGCGAGAGCTGCAGGCCTAGGAAACGATGTAAAGGAAATGCGACATAAACAGTAGTTACCAGTAGTTCAGCAATGGCTTCACAAGTCGATTTGAAATGGTGTTCCTCTGCAGAGGCTGCGGCCGGCGACGGACGATGATTTTTTTCGATTGCGGGCGATGGCCATAGTCGGACGGCTTCCTTGCGGCCCTGCAGCAGGCCTCGCAGTATTCGTGAAAGCCAAGTCAGGTTTACCGACCCGCTCCACTCCTGGACGTCGTTTTGCACAACGGCGTGCAGGCTCAGTTTCCAAGTTTTCTTAGCAGTGGATTTTGTGAATGCCTTGGGAGTGGGTGACACGTAACCCACCTTTCAGACCCACAGCCCGCGAAACACAGCGATGTTTGATCCAGGGCTGCGTTGCCACCCCTTGGTATGGCGTCCCCTCCGCTCATATGTGAGGTCCCCTGAGGCACTGGCTGTGATGCGCGCCATCGCATCGACACCCCTTCGCCTCGTCTGTATTGTCATTTGGGGGTTGTGGTTTGGTTAGGGCCGTCACCCAGCCCATCCCAGCCCCCACACAGCAACCGCCATGTGTGGACTCGTGAAGTTGCTCTCTGGTGCAAAACTGCAGGAACATAATTGTCAAGGATTGCACCGCACTGAATCTGAAGAGAGATAAAATATGGGGCGGGGAGGTGCTGGATGCGAGGTTAGGATTCCGGATATTCCAGGGTTGGATGTTCGGATGTCATTGTACCAGTGGGCTGTAATTGTGAGCGGGACAGGTCCGGCGGGGGGACCGGCTGCGCGTCGAGGTCCCTGCCGGCGGAGAGGCCGGGCGATGCACAACCGTCTCGTTATGGCACCGAAGATAATTTCAATTGATTGCTTTCATTCCTTTACGCATTTTGTCTTGTTTCGATTCGTGGCACGAGGGAAGGGCTTTCGTCTTATGCTTATTACTTTGTTTCGATTCGTGGCCAGAGAGAATCGCTGTGCTGCTTGTGTTCTACGTGACCAAGATCGGTGGCAAAAGCACTGATTGCGGCAGCACACAATTGAGGTGGCTGCGATTTGCCAACGGACGTGCTGTGATACGCAGAGCGAATCGGGATCTTACTGTGCTTGCTAAAAGCCTCAATCCTACAGCAGGTAGGCTCGGGTAGGGCTGGTTTTGAAGGCAGTTTTCTGTTCTTTACGCACCATACCTGATGCCAGGCCTGTGTCTACTGCGACACGCCTGACATGCCTCCACCTCAGATACCTGCTTGCGCTGTGTCCTGAGGTATGTCCTAGGCTTCTGACCGTCTCACACGTTTTGGGTTTGTGTGTGAATCAAGCAGTGACGCTGGGAGCTGGCAGTGCACTTGGACTTGCTTCTGAGTGTGGTGGTCGGTGAAGTGGCGCCTACAGGCTCCCTCAAGTCATTGACGACGTGTCAGCGGTCGAAGAGGACAGGACCACAGCCACTGTCGTGTCACGGGAGCAAAGGGAGCCGGGCTCTCGGTCCTGAGCCTCGCGACACTGAGTTGAGGCTTTGGGGTTTGTACCGTGCCTCACCCGCTGGAGGAAAGTAGATCAGATGACACATGGGCCTACGGGTAGCAATCGGTGAGTCATTTCAGGTCTCCAGCCGCTGGCCCAACGGGGCTGGTGGAGAGCCAGTTTCATCTGAGCTCTCAAGAGCCGTAAGGCTCTGTTGACAGTCGGCCATCAGACCGCGCGAGCGTAGCATCCAGTTAAGACCTTGTAGCCATGAAATTCAAGCCGAAGCTGTCACATTTCGACCTGCCAGCTGACGGAGTGGAACAGACGTGCTCAGTGTTTGATCGGCCAGGCCATCTTACCTATTGCTGTACAGGGGTGAGTTGGCTGCCCCAAAGTGCGCAGGAGCAGGTTGCGACGTGTGTTAAAGAGCCCGCTGCGGTGTTACTAGCAGTAGCAGCAGGCATACCGCGCAAGGCGATCTCCAAACCGTCGTAGCTAGACTCGTTGCCCCGGCTGCTTGTAGGCCCGTCGCATGCCATGACTAAAGCATTGAGGGTCAGCTCCTGTTCGCAGTAGGCCCAGCTGCTTGCAAACCTTGATTGAGTCCTCATCACTCTCGAAACCCACCACACGAGCGGCTGTTGAATTAGGGTCAAAGGTCTAGGATCCCAGGTGCTAAGCTTCCTAAACCCTAAACCCTGGTGCGGAGGTGTCAGGCCGCACTGCAAGCAGCACGGAAGCGCAGCTCGAGACCCAGACCGAGTCCCACCGACAGAAGAATCTGGTGGAAATCCAGAAGAAACCCGAGGAATCCATAGGGAGAACTCTGGGTTTAAGGCTTAAGGCTAGCAAGCCTCTACTTCCTGCTTTAGGGGCTGAAGAAGCTTGGGTCTTCCAACTTCGATTCGGGATAGGTTTGAAGCAGCACAACAGGTGAGCTGGGTTATGGTCAGTGCTTTCTGCGACATTTGGATCAGTCGCACAGCTGAGCTCCAACCGTAAGTTTCGTCATGGCTGCTGTGAAACAAGGGGCAGGCTTCATGGGCGAACAGCCCACGCATGGCCAGGGGGGGGGCTCGCACCGCCACCCCAGTGCTGGTTGCAGTTTGTTGGTGTTTTCCCGCCATGCCCAGCTGGCGTAGATCCGGCAGGAGCATGTTCAGACCTGGGCGCAGCTATGGACGCCTCCCCACCTTCCATGCCGGCACCGGCTTTCCACCCAGTGCCACTCACAAGTCCTCCAACCTTTCCCCAGTCTTCTTTGCAGGCTCCGCAAGGGCAAGGGGAAGGGAACGCAAAGGGGCAAAGAAACCGAAGGGCAACAGCAACAAGGGCTTCGGCAAGGGCAGGGGTAAAGACAACGGCAGGGGTAACGGCAAGGGCCGCAGCAAGGCAAAGTGGAGTTGGAATTATTAGCACTGAGCAGCATAGCTTCGGAGGTCTCACCTCTGACTGATCGCTTTCGCTTGAGCTTGTTCGGCTTCTGGCTAAGTCATGCCGTTGCTCCCAAGGAGGGACGACGGAAGAACGAGTGTGACAAAGCCAACCCCTTTTTCCACAATCGCTTCGTAAGAGCCAGTGACCCGGCACGAGCAATGCGGCAAAGTACAAGGGCACAAGCCTGCAGAGGGTTGTGCTTTCAATGACACATATAACTGACACGATAAACGGAACATGGGAGGGCTTACGTGCTGAAGGCATGACTGTCGCCTTCGATATGGTGGACGATGTGCATGCGCCTTAGATGGATGAGGTCGCAGCTCAATGATTTGCGTTGTGTCACAAGGCGATTTTCCGATTGAGCAGCTGAAGTTGTAAGACTGTAACGGCAGTGCTGTTTGCTAGCCAAAAGATGTCTCATTGAGTGGCTTGCAGTGAGCCATCTTGGAAAGTCAAGCAGCTGCTTGAACGGTGTACCAAGGGAGCAGTCGCCCCTCAGGCCGGGTTCTGTTGGGTTTTGTTGTCAACTTGTGACTTGGTTCCATCACCGTTTGGGCTTCGGCCGCTGCAGGCACAATAAGACAGCTGAGCCGGGTGCGCCGGCCAGTCAGGCAAGCTGGCGGTGGTTCGGAAGCCACTTTATTGAGATTTGTGAGAACAGGGGCTGCGGTTTGACTGTTCGGTTTTGCCAGGCTGGGCAACCAACTGCTTTTGTGCGATTTGCAAAGCTTGTTGACGACAGGTAACAAAGTTGAGGTGTCTTATGAAGTCGGCAACATACATGAGCTTGACGACATTGTGTTCCCCAAAGTGCAATGCCGCGTGGCAGATGGGTCCTGCGTAAGACCACCGGTGTCTCTACGCGTGACATGTAATGATGGAGTTTGCAAAAACACGCTCCTGTGTTTTGTGGTTGTTGGTGTTGCTGCATTTCTGGTCTCTTTTCGTCTACTCTGCTGTTTGTAGCTATGGCGAGGCTCTGCCATGTGTTCAAGTTGCGTTTCTTTGCTGTTGCTGGCTGTGCTTGAGGCGACCGCGTAGGTTGCGTATTTCGGTTTCATCCTTTCGGCTCGATTGGCTCTCCCGGCCAGATCTTAATGTCCGTGACACACACAGATCATTCGAGCACCTGGGGCTGTTCTTTCGTCTTCACCATCGCGGTTATCATCATCGTCATCATCGGCATGATGGATTTGATCATTAACATGAGATATGGTCACTAGGAATGGGTGCCCGGCGGTATCGTGCCAATCGCACTACATCAACACGCGGTTCAGAACATGAGCCCACAACTCTCACATCCCGAAGATCCGCGCTGTGCCATGTCCAGTCGGAGCGTCTTCGTTGCTTGTATCACCTTGTCTCCTGCTTGCCGCAGCAGCTGGTTCTACACCGATCATAAGATTTTCCTCGAGACCCTTTTCAACCCTCCACTCTGAACTCCTCAGCTCTCAGGATTCCGAACAGGTTTTTGTTCCAGGGAGGTCTCGAAGCCTAAAATCAGAGGAGTTTGAGCACCGGGACCCCTTAAAGCGAAAGAAAAGACGCCTCCCAAACCCTCCTAAAGCAGATGACAAACGCAGAGTGGGCGTCTCTTGCGCGCCTGGAGGCAGAGGCCTCTGAGGAGAGCTCCGGCGAAGAGGAGAAGGCCCTTTTTTTGGCACTACATTTTTTCGAACTTAATATGGAAGGTCTAGAAAACATTTAGAAAAAAGTACAAACAAGTAACGAGGACAATGTAAAACAACACATGATGTACTCGTCGATCTTGAGGCCTAGGGCTGGAGATTCGTGCTTGTGGCAACCGGAGTCAGGTGCCCCCACCTCCTCCCTGCAGCCCGCGGCGGCCTTAGAACCACAGTCCCTACGTCGTGGAAATATACTATATACTATATAATACATAATATATAATATATAATATATTATATATTATATATATTACATATTACATATTACATATTACATATTATATATTATATATTATATATAACAAGGTTCAGCATCTCTCAGGCGTTTGGCTACTCTGTCGGTGCTGTAGTGTTCCTCCCTTAGGTCTTGCAGGTGAGTGACATTTGCAGTCGTCTCACAAGGAGAGCCTTTGCCAAGTGGACCTGCTGCTCTATCTGTCTCCCCCTCGTCGCCCGCCGGTGGCTGATCCAGGTGCGGCTTGCCTCCTGTGCCCGGCACCGAGGAGGCCTGAGACTCGAGAGCAGAGGCTAAGGCGGCTAAGGCCCGGAACGCACAGTTGTCCCCCATTGGCAAAACACACACGTCTGACTCTGACCCTAATCTCTCACTTTGCGGCTCTGCAGCTTCAGATTCTGCCACACCGGTCTGAGAAGATGATGCTGCAGCAGCACCTTGTACTTGCATGGTCCTTCATGGTACTCATTGAATACTCGTGATGCAGCATGCACTCTTGGAACAGTCGAGACTAGCAGGGCCATCATTCACGACTTGGCACCTTGGCCATGGTTGGGTCAACCACTCAGGGCTGCAGCACATTGCGCGACAATTCCGGAATTGATGCTGCTTGGAGCATCTTTGACGACACAGAGCTTGAAGAGGTCGTGCACATCGTGAAGAGCGAGCAGGACGGTGGGAGCGATTGGGGACCAAGCTACCTGGACAAGGACCTGATGGCAGTGATCTTGTCGCAGGCTGGCGACACCGTTGCATTAATCCAGCATCAGGTGCCGGCAGTCTGTCGTCTTTTTCGCGCTGTCACGAGAGAACCATTGTTCTGGCAGCACTTGTCCCTGTCGCCGTCGAACTCCTTGGCTTCTTCTGCTGTGACAGACGATGTGGTCTGCCGGCTTGCGAGGACCCATGGCCCAAGGCTGCTCACAATCTGTTTGGATGGCGCGCGCTTACTCGGCCCTTCGAGTGTTTCAAAGATCGCCTACAATTGTCCGCAGCTGCAGGGCTTCACTGCCGTCGGCTGCACGGGAATCGGCTTTGGTGCCATCCGCTTCTTGTGCAAATCTTGTCCTTTGTTGCATACTTTAAGAGTCAGTGGCTGCCATTCAGAAGCAGACCCTTTGCCCCAAGCCGACCAGGCCGAAGCAGATAAGCTGGCAAGGAGCATCACAGCAAATTGCCCAGAGCTCCGCTTTCTTTCTTTGTCGCGCTTAAGGCTTCAAGAGAGCTTAGAGCAGCTCCTGAAGATTCCAGAATTGGAGGCGCTGGATTTGTCCAGCCTTGAGCAGCTTCCCAGCGAGCGCTTCGACGCTGCCCTCTTCGAACATGCAGATAGGTTGAGATCCCTGAAGCTCGCGGGCTGCAGTCGGCTTCTCTCTATCTCCGGCCACTTGACGCAGTTGCAAACCCTCTATCTCGGGGGCTGCGTGCGCCTCAACGATGCGGAAGGCTTGGGGACTTTGCTCCAGCACTGCCGGCGGACCCTCACCTTGCTAAGCCTGGTGGGCTGCCAGAACCTGTCAGCTGAAGGCCTTTTGAGAGCTTTCGGTCAGGCAGGCACGCTGATGGCGATTCAAACTCTGGTGTTGGGGGGATGTCGCGTATATGATGAGCTGTGTGAACTCTTGGGCCGCGGATGCCCCAGCCTCACTTCCTTGGACCTTTGGGATTGTCCCATGACCAATGCAGGGGTCTCTGCCGTTATCCGGGGTGGTGCTCCCTTGTCAGAACTCAACCTGCGAGAGTGTCGGCAGGTGACGGGCCAAGTGTTGCAGGAGCTCTGCTCATCACCAGCTGTGCGTCTGCGAACCCTGGATGTATCTTTCCTGGGTCCTGTGACCGACGACGACCTCCTGCCCGTCGTGCAGACCTTTGCTGACCTGAGGTGCCTGATTTGCGGGGGTGCTCGGTGCTCCATTACAGACAGGCTTCTGGAAGCACTGCCGCTCCACATGGATGCCGTGCATCTGGAGGAATGCAAGATGCTGCACCACATTGCCCCCTTGGCGCGCCTGCAGACGCTGACTGCACTGAGCCTCGAAGACTCGATGGCTCCCGCATCACAGCTTCTTAGCATCTGTCACAGCACGCCCTCGCTCTCTTCGCTAAATGTTTCTGGCTGTGCTATTGATGACGATTCCGCTTTGCGCATCAGCGCGGCGCTGCCGCGACTCCTGGAGCTGGAGCTCTGCAGCACTCCGATCACGGACGTGGGCTTGCGAGGAATCGTGCGCAACTGTCCTAGGCTGATGCATCTCGGAGTTTTGAATTGCGACAACCTGAGCCGAATCGCTGTGCATGAAGCCAGACAGACACTGCCTGCCTGTATCGTGAGTTTTTTGGATACTTAAGCCGTTGATTTACCAGTGTATGACACTGCGTGGCATATCCTGGTGAAAGCGACGCTGCTGTTCTTTTGCAGCAGGGTGCAGGCACTGACAATGTGATCTGCGCCTGTCGTTGCGAGGCAGGAAGCAGCTGCATTTGGATCCGCATGTTACTTCCTTCGTCCTCGGCATGGGCATGTTGCCGCGAGCCAGTCTTCAGTGCCGTGATCGCAGTTTGCTCACACTCCATTGCCATGTCGATTGCAAGCACAGATCGTGCCAAGAACGAGGACTCCCACGACATTACGAGCGGCCACAGCACTAGACAGGCTGCAGCTTCAGGAACAAGGATTCGAGAAGCGTACACAATACACACACCTCTGGCCCAAATTGTGGCCGTGCTCACGTTTGTGTCCGAGCCTACGCGAGCCTTGCACTATGGACGGCCGCGGGACTTGAAGACGCTTGCTGATGAAAAGTCGCCTCATGCATCGTGGGTTTTGAAGTCTTAACGGGCCTTGGTTGTTGACTTCCATCCTTCGTCCGTCAGCCTTCAGGGAGTACTGTCACGGGGGCGTCATGTCGGGCATGATTCAGGCTCAATCCCCGAACCCAGACCCTCCAACTCATGGAGAACTCCCAGGCACGCCTCAAGTACAACGTAGGATGCCTCACCCCACGAAGGCGCGCAGCTCCGTGTCAACAGAGGCCTCGCTGCTGCGGTGCCTGGTGGCTCCGTGAGAAGTGCCTTGCAGCTTAAATCTCTTCCTGCAGGAGATGGGTTCTTTGATCTCCGTGCCCTTGATAAGTCACCGAGCAGACCTCTTGACACTCTCATGACCGACATCAATGCAGAATTCCACCAAGTTATTTACAGGTTCCCGGCTCTACCATAAGCAGAAACTAGGCCTTTTCGCCCCTGAGAAAGGTTGAACCCCTAAATCCGGTATGGGATATTTCCCAGGCTGAGGACAACGGGGTAGAGCAACACAAGTCGGACGTATGGCAATGGGAATTGAAAGGGCGTGCTACAAGCAAGTAGACTGGTGTTTGACAGTAGCAGAGGAATTGTAATCGGCTCTGTGGTGTCACTGGCATGGCTGCAGGAACAGAAGAATGGCAGCAACGATGCCGTAAAACCCAACATGAAAGCTCCAATCACAAAGCTTTCGGGCTACCACTGCATCGTCAGGGTGAAGTGCCTGTTCTTGTTCTTATTGCTTATCTGGCAGCTCTTACATGTTGCCTTCCTGTTACCACCACCCGCCAGGCAAGCCTTGCGGCAACTTTATTGCCGACGTGCGCCGACGCGCAGGCCGCAGCAAATCCAGATTTCTTTGAGCTAGTCTGTCGGAATCAGTGTGTGTGTGTGTGCTCGCTTGCTTGCTCGCTTGCACGAAATGGTGAAATTCCGCCGGAACATACCTCCGTTGAGACCCTGAGTCCCCAAAAAATCCAACCAGCGTCCTAGTTCCAAAGCTCTCCAGGTCCAAGCTGAGCCGTCCCGCAAGACCTCTTCTGTCCAGGCTCCGGACTTCTAGTGCTATTGTTGCAAGCCTTGGCTTCACATGTCAAAATTCCCCACATGCCAGGAGCTTTGAGCTCTGGGAATGTGCATTCAGAGCCTGGAGATCCATGAGGATTTCAGGAACACGGCCGCCCCGGAAGTTCACCTTACACTCTGGGGGTTGGAGAAGCCCGACACCTAAGCAGTCCTGCATAGGGTGGCCCGCTGGCAGGCGGTGATCGACATTGTGACCATGGCCGCAGAGGTGCAAACGAAGGCTCGGGCTTTTGCATTGGGATCTCGGGAAAACGGGTCTCCTCGTCTCGAGCACGTCGACATTCGGATGTCAGAGCCGAGTCCCCTTGCCTTGGGTAGGCTCAGCCTGACGTGGCATCGTCTTCGTCGCAGACAGAGGCACAGAAGAGACAATTGGCCAAGACCTCTTTTGCGATCGACTGTGATGATCAAACGCTGTTCTCTATCCTTCCTTTGCACTGGGCACTGGGTGTTTAGTGCAGCATTGACAGAGGCTCCTGGAGTGGCGAGTGCGGCGGCAGAAGTGCAGACAGAGGTGCCTTGCAGGTGATGTCCCGTACGCCATGTAGGGGAGAACTGATGTCGTGCCAGCTGCTGGCAGAATCGGGTTACCGGATCAAAAAACCTGGTGCCTGCAGATTCCGACGCGCCAAGCTGTTCGGCTCAGTTCCATAGCTCAAAGGCCCCAGGCCCACAAGGGCTCACGATGTCCCATGCGGCCAAGCCGCAGGGGCACGAGCGTGAGCCCCCCGTCTTCCGCAGCAACAGCCTCGGTCTGGCTGGTGTCGAGGCCCGGCTTGACCGCCTCTCCTTGCAAATGGACCTTTGCCTCAGTGAGATCACGAGCTGGAGACTGGGGCCTTAAGAAAGCTTTTCAGCTTCAAGTTCCCCAAAAAAGACTCGACCGACTGAACCCTGAAGCCTTGCCGAGGAGAGGAGTCGCACAGAACGGCCTGGACGCGAGCTCCATGCCAACTCCCAGTGTACCGGAGCCAGCTCCCAGCGTACCGGAGCCATCACCAAAGCTCCTTGAGGTGAGAAAGGGCTCTTGTCAGAGATGGGGATCATGTTCTACTTATTTTGGGGATCCATGTGTTTCACGGTCTTCACTTGTTGGTGCCAGGTCCCGGGAAGGCAGAGCCAAGTATCGAACGAATCTTCTGGCGCGCATTCGTCTCTGTCTTCCGACAGGACGCTGACAGAGGGCAGGCTCACTGCGAATGCCAAATTTCCAGATGCATGCTGTGTATGTCGCGAATCGCTTTTTCGTGTCCGTCTGTCTGTTTCTGTGTTTCTGTTTCTCTGTCTGTCTGTCTGTCTGTCTGTGCCTCTCTCTGACTGTCTTTGACGGTCTCTGTCTTGGTCTTTGCCTCCCTATCTCTGTCTCTCTGTCTGTGTCTCCGTGTCTGTCTATGTGTCTCTGTCTCTGTCCGTCCATCTGTCTATGTCTGTCGGTCGGCAGGCAGGCGGTTAGGTAGGTAGGTGCATAGTACATCTCTTGTATTATTCTTCTGTGTTGATGAGCTAGTTGCTGGCTGCAGTCTATCGGGTCAAAACCTGTGGTGTCGTCACGAGTCAAGTGCTGTTTGCTGGCAACACTCCATCAGATGTCGGGCTTCACGCCCATGGACCCTGAAAGCTTCCTCTTCCATCATCTTCATTCCAGAAGGGTATATGTATATGCCCTTACTGGAAGCGTTTAGGGTGATCGGCAGTGTTGCAAAGTGTGGAGGAATCGCGAGGATAACGGCGAGGCCCACGAATCACCAGCGAGGCTCTACCGGGGAAGGTCCAGGCAAATGCTGCCCGTGCGATCTATGGATCTGAAGGTAGCCTGGAAGCTCCACGCCAAGGAGGTCACGCGAGATCTCGGCACGCTGAGTGCCGCAGACAAACGAATCCAACCACTTCTGCGTCTTGTATATCGAAGCCGTGCGGACTATGTCTGGGAGCTACTGGACGACCCAAACTCGAGCACCTGGGCATGGGGTGTTTCCCTCTGCTTGAAGCTGCTGGTCATCTTCTCAGTGCTCACTTCCAATTTAGAGTCTTCGACAGTACCTCTTCTAAACCAGCGCCTCATCGGGATTTTGCAGATCAGCTTCGACACAGTGTTCCTGACAGAGTTCCTGTGCCGCTTCTTATCCGCACCCTCGAAGAGATCTTACTTGAAGGATCCGCTTAACTGGGCTGACATGCTCTCCGCTCTGGGCTTGCCTCTCAGGGCGATGCTCGGCTTTGACGTTCAAGGCCTCTTTGATGTTCAAGGCCTCAATCCCAGTCCCGGACTGGAGATCGTCCAAATCACGCTGCTGTACTTCCTGCCGCTGGCGCGCCTTCTCAAGCTACTGCGTTACTTCGACTCACTCCGGCTTCTTATCGATGCATGCGTCAATTCAGCAGAGGCCCTGCCAGTCCTATTCTACATGCTGGCGGTCATGGTCCTGTTCTCTGCGACCATCATCTTCTTGGTCGAATCGCAGGATAACATCCCAACTCTGAATCATTCTCTTTGGCTCTCCATCGTGACAATAACGACCGTGGGCTACGGCGACTTCTTTCCAAAGTCTCCTTGGGGCTACCTGTCCGTCTCAGTGCTGACCTTCGTAAGTGTCCTTTTTCTGGCGCTGCCTGTGGGTATTGTCGGCCACGAGTTCACACAATCTTGGCTCACGAGGCCTTGGGGTCTGGGAGCCCTGGAAATCTCCACCCAAACCTTGAACTAACCCGACCCTGAAGGAGCCAAGCCCAAGCAACCTAGCAACAAACCGCACTTGCAAGTGCCCAAAAATCTTCCACACATCCTAAACCTTCAACTCGGCTATCCTTTGTACTTCCAAGTATTCCCAAAACACGCGACCCGAAAGCGCCCAAAACACGCTTGGTACCCTAAGAGTCTGACATACAAGCCCGAGTTGTTATATAAGTTATATGTATATATATACACATGTGTGTATATATATATATGTATATGTATATGTATATATATATGTATATATAGATATAGATATAGATATAGATATAGATATAGTTTTCTACACACCTATATATATATAGATATATATATATATACATGGATAGATAGAGATGTAAGTATATCAGAGGCACTGAGCCCTAACCCCCCTAGATGCCCTCTCAAGGCGGAAGGTCCTCCTCCAAACTCGGGTGCGCCGCTGCCTCAACAAATGGGGCTACACGGCCGCTGATCTCCAGTGCTTCGTCGGAAGAAATGGGGGTGTCCGAAAATAAGGGGGTACCTTATTTGGG